CCGCCCCCCGCACCTCTGAGGTTTTCAGCCTAGTGAAGAGAATACCAGACCAAATGCTGTTTGCTCTCCTTCTTAGAGCCAGTGATGTTAAGACATAGCCTGCTGATCTTGTTAGGATAGTTTTGCAAGTTGCCTACCGCCCTCAGAAGGTCCTGAAACACTAATGGCAGATTTTATGCCAGCCTTCCAAATCAGCTTTATTCTGGAAGAACCTACCAACCAAGTCTTGCTGCACTCTGGATCCTGTCCACGTGTGCATCCCAAGAGCTTCAGCTCTGGCCTCGCAGGGAATGGGGGAGCCTGCTGGGTCTGGACTCTGCCAGGCTGCTCCCGAGACAACCGTAATAAAATGGACTCCTTCTGACGAACCTGAGTCAGGCTCTTGGGAAGCTTTCAAAGCTGACAACTCCTTATGTCTGCCCAGAATGGCCTGGGAGTATGCCAGGGCATTGCTCAGGGAAGAATGCCGATTTGGAAGTGTTCACCTCGATGAGAGACCGACAGCAACTCCTGGTGGTGGATTTCTTCCTCCAGCCTCTGCTCTGAAGGTGGATCCATCTGTGGGCCTGTTGTCAAGCACCTGACTCCAGACAGGGCGGGCCTGTTCGTTGCCACCCAGGGGAGTCTGTGGTTTTAAACCATGGGTCATGGGCTCCGGGAGACAGGGGGATTAGAACTGGAAGAGAACTTGGAGGTCACCTGGTGGTGATACTCCCATTTTGCAGATGAGAAAACTGAGACCCTAAGAGGACAAAGGACTTGCCCAAAGCCAGCCTCCCAGCAGAGCCATAGACTCCAGCCCTGCCTGCAGGGTTCCTGCACTGCCTTGGTCCCAATCCCATTCTCCTGTTCTGCCCTGCTCTAAGGATCAAACACCTGTGACCAGTCATCTGATTTTCAACACTTCCTCCTTAAAAACACTTGCAACCGTCCCCAGCTGTCCCTCTCACTGCAATCTTTACAGGGGGGCTTTCCTGGCTTTCCTGGCAGAGGGCCTGGGTGTCTCATGCATGGGCACCACTCAAACAGAGTATTGATGTGCTCCCTGGAGAGATGTCAAGGCTGGAGCACAGCTCTGGGCCCTGCTCTGTGGGGATGCTTTTGTGCATGTGGCTGAGTCCCCTCCCCCTCCCCATCCCTGCATCTCTGCATCCCCAAAGAGCAAAGGTGAGGGGTGTGGCACAGCTCATCCTGGCCCCCTAAGGTGACTCTCCGTGGTTTCCAGATGTGACAGCACCCTTAGTGGATGAGGGAGCCCCCGGTGAGCAGGCGGCCGCTCAGCCCCCCATGGAGATCCCAGAAGGAACCACAGGTGAGGGTGACTCCCAGGTCGGGGTGCCCAGCTCCCCTGCTGGAGGACGGGTGCACGTGGGGTCATGCCCATCTCCAAGTGCAGCAGG